ATTGTGTAATTTTTCAAACTCAAGAGCAACTTCATCAAAAGTAATAATATCATTGTTATCGCATACCTCACTAGGGTTATCACCTAGTAGTATTGTACATGGAGATGAGACTTCTTTAGAACTCAAAACGGGATTTTCCAACGCTTGTTGAATAGCCTCCAATTCCCCTTCATGTGCTTCAATAAATTTCCATAAGGCGTAAGCACTATCAAAATTAGCAAATTTGTTAGAAAACGATGAGTGAAAAGCATTAATCAAATATTCTAACAAAAGCTTATTCATATTAAACAATCTTTTATCATTTTCACACCATTTGGATTTTTCCAAAATGGGAACAATATAGGCATCCTCAATAATTTCCCATAAATCGAATTGTTTAGATTGAACGAAAAGTTTGAATCTAACACGCCATTGAGCATAGGGAAAAATATCCAAACGATGAGCAATATTAATAGCATATCCTATACTAGATGAATCATACATATCCCTAAAGATGAAATGCAAGAAGCAAAATGCAATCAAAATTAGATTAGCACAAATACGATAACTTGGATCTTTAACTCAAGGCGGTTAGTCCTTAAATCAAAGAGTACCAAGCTCTGATACCAATTGTTAGACCCTAGAGGGGGGGGTGATTAGGGTCTTATGCTAATCTAATCCTGATTAATTACCAATTAAAATTATGTTGATCAATATGTTCTTGCAAGAGATAGATATGAATAAGAACAATAAGAATATGCACAAATAAAATATAACCCAAGCAAAACACAAACATACGATATGTTTACGAGGTTCGGTCACCACGACCTATGTCCCCACTCCTCATCGAGGAGATATCCACTATCACAATCCGGTTTGAAAGCCGGAACTTCTACACATTCGGTTACAAGTTCACCGAAAACTCTCACACTACACAATCACTAATCAATCACACTTTATACACTAAGTGTAGGAACCTAGCCCGTGTCCTCCTCCTCAAGTGCTCGGTTACAACCTCTCTTTAGGTTCGTCAACCGACGCCACTCCTATTGGATTCGACCCCGTCTCTCGCCTCACACTTCTCTCGGTGTACAAGTGTATTATAAGTGATTCTCACAAAAGAAGATTAAATACAATAGTTTGTTCTCAAATAACAAGTGAGAACACAATGAAACTCACACTCACTAAATCACACTCCACAACCTACACTATATGGTATGAAGATATTAAGCTCAATATGTGTATGTGATAACAGTGAATGAAACTCAATAAATATAGCTAATTGAAATAAAAATAAAATAACAAGCTATATAAGAGTTTAGAAAACTTCTCAAACAAGAAGAACAGTAGATGATGATCCAAATAGGATTTGTAAGCCACTTTTTGTTGTAGGAAAACTTCTCTTGAAACAGATTGATGAAATCAGCTTTAAACAGCTCTTTGAAACACACTAAATATTTTGTTAAACACAAAACTTGGATTTCTTGGGTGCATAGAAGGAGAGCAGCAATGGGGTATATATAGCAACCCAATACATCAGTAAAAGACCAAAAAACCCATTTGAAAATAGCTGTAAAAACTAGCCGTTGACCGGTGCGGTCGACCCCGAAACCAAAAAAACACAGTTTTTAAAATATAAAGCTGGCGGTCGACCGCGGAGGTTGATCGGAATCTGATACATTGCATATTGACAGGTTTTTGGGCTGTTTTGAAAATTCATTAAAAATATCAAATCATTTCCAAAAATAGTAAAACTTTGGGGAAAGTTTCTAAATGATGTAATAAACATGTTTGAAAAGGAATTTTTAGAAAATTAATTTTCGTTTGTGAAAACTCCCTGTTTTTGAAAAGTGTTCAGAAAACCTGTTTTTCGTGAACATAAAAATTGACATAAGGCTTGTAAATATGTATATATATATTATGCATATATTATATGTATATAATAAAGCATGAAAGAGCTGTAAACATGAAATAAAAGATATTGTAACAACGTTTGATGAAAAATTATTTATATGATAGAAAACGTCAAAAATCGTGTTAAGTGTACATATATTGAGCTTAGATATTAACATACAATATATGTAAGTAAACTAAACTTATACCTAGGTAAATGAACTTGAGTCTTTAACGCTTGATTGTCGTGTGTTGAAATACCTGTAAAGAGAAACATAAACACAAAACTAAAGAATATATTAACGATAAATTGTTTGACAAATCATCATCAAAACTATAGGGTCAACAATTATGCTTCATCTCTTTTTCAGCCAAAGCATTGTGCAATTTTGCGAAATCAACGAGCTTTTCATCTGCATCCTCTAATAGGAAAAATCATTCTTCCTATTAAACTTTTCGATCTTATACTTTCCAACTTTTAACTATTTTGCTAGTTGACGTCATTCTCCGCTTGTATTAATAAATTCATTTCTCTCAGGAAATTACCGAGCACCACCTAAAACCAGAAGCTACACCACTCCCAATCTGAATAATAGCCTTGATACCAATTGTTGGGCGCAGAGTCACGCTCTCACGCCGCGGAAGCGATATCACCTGAGAGAGAGCCCTTGCTTCTATTTTCACAAAAACTCAAGTCAACCTCTATATTCCCGTTTCACAAAGGAAACAAGAATAGAAGTGAAATATCTCAACAAAGTGAGATATACATTCTTCTTCTCATTAGTTCTAGGACTGAATCGTCGAGGGAATCTACAAGAAATAATCAACATCCAAAAAACAGTAAAGACACGAGATTTACGTGGTTCGGCAAACTTGCCTACGTCCTCGGGAAAGGGGGAGGGGAGATTCCACTATGAAGGAGAACACTAACGACTTGTACAACCCACAAGCTCGTCCCAAAGATGAAGCTTGATTTTTACCCAAAAGAACTTATAAAAATCTATCCAATGTCTCTTTTTTCTCTCCTCAAGATCTCTCTTTTAGATATGAAAAACTCTCCTTTTCTATTGCCGCCAAAACCCTCTTTTTCTCCTCCGTCTGTTTTTCTCACCCTACAGAAACCATAACTGACTCCAGGTATTTATAGGAGAGCCTGGAAATGTCTTGGGTGGGCCACACCCGCACCTAGGTTTTGCCTCTTTGCCTCCGCGCTCGTGGGTGTGGCCCCCACGTGCTTTGCCTCCACGCTCATGGTGCTTTGCCTCCGCGCTCGTGGGTGTGGCCCCCACGTTCACACATACAAGCAACCAAATAATGGAGAATTCCAAGACTCATGAACAATATCCAAAAAAAAGGTTTCTAAAAGCCACATCTTATGAAATTTGAAATAGGAACATGATCAGAATTTATTCTTACTAAATGATTCACCTTAGGTTTACCAAACTTTCAAGAGTAAATCCAAACTGAAACACACTCTCTCGAACCTTAACCGAATACCTACGGTGCCCATCTGCCCATTAAAATAAATAAATTTATTACCAGAGAAACCAGCATCAGTGAGACCCAGAGAATTTGCACAATCTGAAAATTTGTTCATCCCAAATGTATCAAGATAGAGGCTGCCAAGCTCTCATGAGCAGGCAGCAAAACATTGAAATCTCCTACTACTAACCACGGACCATCCACGTACCCTGCTATGAAAATCCTGAAGATGAGACCTTAAAGCTCTCCTATCCACCAGCTTCAATGGACAAACACTGAGAGGAACAAGATTGTTATCTACAGTAAATATCATTAGTCTTAAAAAAAAGACTTTTCCTCCTTCCGATTCATTATGAAAATAATTAGGGAAACCAAGTTTCTGCTAATGAAAGAGGCTCGAGTAGCAGAAACCATATTCCACAATGCAGCATTAATCATTAGAATATGTAATACCTTGAGAAGTAAATACTTTAATATAGGGATTAAGGAGAAAATGACATTTATCTTCTGATATCATTATTGTATGAATACAATCAAAAGAGTATATCAGTACAATCACAACGTTATATCAATGCAACCACCAACTTTAAAATATGTGCCGGACACATCCAATTTTTCCTCCTCCCTCCATGTTTTTCCATCGAGAGTCCTCTACAGTAGCTAAGGGATCACAAACAATAATAATAATAATAAATAAATGCATGGGTTGATGCTCCAGCAACCAAACAAAGAGGCGTTTGAATATGTTGTAGCAGTTGGGAGTGATGGATGGATTGATTTCAAAGAAGTAGAACCAACACTCAATATTTATTCTCCCCTCCCTCGATGCCATTACTTTGCTCTTTCTCCACTGCCCAATTTATTACCATCAGCACCTCTGCTCTCTCTCTCTCTCTCTCTCTCTCTCTCTCCTGTTTCTTTAATGAGAAATTAAGGTTTGGCCAAGATCATCAATGCTCACCAACGAGAAGTAGTTCATGATTTCATGGAAGTTAATGGTGTAAATACGCATACATACGCGAGTAGTGCTATAAATACCTTTTTCAATTATATATTTAGGTGTCCGTGATTCTAGTGGATGAGTAAATATCTAATGGCCTTGGCCCGTAGCATTAATGATGCATCAGAAGAATATCAATTGTTAGATTAATGCACACTCAGAATTTAGTGATCATAGGGTTGATATCCATTTGGTGCAATATTAACGCTATGGATTGGGACAACTGGATACTTTCTCCTAGATCATTGTATTAATGGTACATCAAATGGATGTCAATTATAAAATTAAAATCACCAAGAGATTAGTGTACTGATCAATAGGTTGATATTCTTTTGGTGCATCATGTATACAATGGACATAAATCATTGGATATTTTATCCCGTTCGAATACCTACGTACAGTGAATAGGAGAGCCCGTACAAATTATCAAAAATCTCCAAAGGTTCACTTAAAACCAACACGAGTATATGTGTGGATACTCAAATAGATACTTAAACAAGTACTTGAATATTTAGCTACTTGTCAGAAGGATGCTCATAGGATGCCAGAGAGAGAGAGAGAGAGAGAGAGAGAGAGAGAGAGAGATTGAAGAGAACCGTATGCTCCTCCTCCTTCTTCTTCTTATTCTTGATTGAAGAGAGAGAGAGAGAGAGAGAGAGAGAGAGAGAGAGAGAGATTGAAGAGAACCGTATGCTCCTCCTCCTTCTTCTTCTTATTCTTGATTGATGACTAATGAGGATTATAATATATACTCTCTAGTGAAGTATTTACTTACGATATTGCACACAAGATTCTCACATGTCTGCGCATGGCATCAACTAAGCATCTCTAATATGGCCTGCAACTGCCATTCAATTAGGAGATTGTACTGTCCAAATAAATTAGAGGGGGGATAAGTTGAGATAATTCACCATCAAGTTCCTGAATCCAGCAAGCAACAAAATGAAAAAAGCTCGATTAGCATAAAATTGGAGAAATATTAAAGAGCATGTACATGGAGCTTAGAATTGGATTTGACATAAACACAAATTCAGGAGAACAAGAAACTGGAGTAAATTAGTGGCACGCCTCAACACATGAAGCTGATAACCTACTAATTGGACTTCCCTATGCCCAATGAAGGGTTTAATTGTACCCCGTAGTTTCCCCTACTGTTCACTTATATACCCTCACTCGATTTTGGCAGCACTTATATATGTTAAACTTTTTAAAACTTGCACTTACATAGTCTCAATTGTTTCTAGCAGCACTTATATACCGTAAAGATTTTAAACTTGCACGTAAATACCCTACGGTTTTAAATTTGCTTTTAATACCCTCAGCTACGCAAACACAAGAATTTCCTCCGAAAATTCTCATGCAACCTGACATGATGATTTTAGAACATTACAATTAATAAATGATTTATTGTTAAGCATATGGAAAGATTATTTCCATGTGACAAATTTATAGACAGAGCACTACATAGTTGGGTAGCCTACAAATTCCATCTGGAAGAGATCCTCTCCAATCAATAAATCCTGCTAACAACAAAGACTGCTTATTATGATCCTCTCTACTTGAGTCCTGCTTCTTGCACGGACCTTTAAATAAACCTATTTCTCAAGAGCAAAGTGGGCTCTTTAATGAGGGCGCATGGTACTAGAAGGGAGTTAGATCATAGTAGTAACTGCAAGCATTATGATGTGAATACAGTTTGGTCTCATGCAGTGATGTTTTCAATGCTGTTGGAGTTAGGGGATTTGAAGCATTTAAGATGACTCTACTTGCCCCAGTTTAATGCTAGGCCTGCCCTCTTGTTAATGGAGTTTCTTGCATGACCTTATCAATATCAAAATGCTGTAATAAGAGAGAGAAGCCAATTCTTAGCTATCTTCAATTGTTTTGCCTTCTTCATTCATAAACATGACCAAAGAGTTTCTACAACCAAAGAGAGAAGTAGTGCTTGTTGAAGACAAGGAGAAGGTTTTAAACAGGCTTTCCATGAGGATGATGGATCAGCCAGAGCTCTCCCTAGGTCCGTCGGTAACAACAGATACCAACGCAAATCTTTGTAGGAAGAGGAAGCACACTTGGGATGAGTCCATGAGTACTCAAACTAGTATTGAGCTCCATCGCAGCGACCCCTTGCCCATGGATTGGGAGCAGTGCCTAGACTTACAAGTGAGTCCCTCTCCGTTCAATTTCTACTAATTATAGTAATATATATTGTTAGAGTATAAAATTATCAAAGTAACCCAAGTTCAATTTTATTATAAAAGATATTTTGATTTTAAAAAGGGTCGTGAACATGTGTGGGCATGTTAATATCAATTTATAACACTCACCCCTCAATGTAACTTCAGAACTTTGATGTAGTCGTAGCGTCCTTTAACATATATGGTTGGCATCTTATTTTTTTCTCCCTCTATATTCCTAATTCTGCAGTCAGGGAGGATGTACTACTTGAATAGGAAAACCTTGAAGAAAAGTTGGGTGAGACCAAGGGAGCAAAAGATAGACTTGGATCTCAACATGTCGACAATCCCAAGCTCAGAAGTGAAGTCTATAGTCAGCTCTAATTCTACTACTGCTGCTACCCATGAGCAGTATCCAAACAACTACACCAATTCAAAGAGTAGCATGGTTGCAGTTGCTTGCCTAAATTGCCACCTCCTTGTCATGCTCTCAAGGTCGTCGCCGTCATGCCCAAACTGCAAGTATGTTCACTCGTTGGCCCCTTCACAACCTCAAAATAGCGAGGCTGTCAAGTCTTTGGAGACTCTAAGCCTACTTCGTTAGACTCAGGAGAAGATAACAGAAGGTCTAGTAGAAAATAATAATAGTTTGTTGATACCATGTAACTCAAATCATATAATGTTTAGGAACATGCATGATCATGAACTTTGTACCGTTAGCTATCAGTCCAGGGATGTTCAAAGTTTTCAAGTCGGCTAGCTTAATGATGGTTTGGGCTAGTAAATGATGGATATAAATGCCGGCTTAAGTTAATTAAACATTCCCTTTCTTGTCTCCTGTTTGAACTACAGGAATATTAACAGGGTTAGAGTGTGAAGTTGGACAAACTCACTGGTTTGTTATAAAGAGGCTACTCTAGAAGATGGCAGTATCCCAGTTGGGAATATCACTATATGATCTTCTAGAACTTGAGAACTATAAGCGTGGTGCATTTTCCAATGCGAGGTACTGTTTGGGATTCAATAGGGTCATGACTCCCACCGTGGAGTTGATGTAATCTTTCTTACCCAAGAAATGAGACAAAATGTTAGCGAAATTTGGTTATGAAAATTAGTGGGTGATAGCATCGTAATACCTGCTAACTCTAGTAAAATATCCCCCCAAAAAATGTCATCAGAGGTTAGCAAGTGGGGACAGGTAGAGAGCTAATGATAATGTTGGGATTTTTTTTTTTTTTTTTGAAATTATTTATGCAGTGAGCCTCCTACTTTCAAGAGGGAGCTTTGTACTCCAATATTGTAGGACATGACATCATGGTTGTATCTGGCAACCACTCACAAAATGGGCAAAGATTGATCCTACCCCAGTTTTATCCTAACCAAGCTAAGAACAAACCAGACGGGTGGATCAAGAACTGGCAGAACAGTTGATGGAGCCTGGGGAATGTTTTGGATGGTCGGCGGTCGACCGCGAGATCGTGGCGGTCGACTGTGTTCGTGCACGGGGCCTCACTGTGCCTCTAGATCTTTGGCGGTCGACCGTGGCGGTCGACCGCGTTTTCTTCTGGAGTTTGGGCCTGTTTCTGGAGTTGGTGCGGTCGACCGTGGCGATCGACAGTGATGCATGCGCGGTCGACCGTCACGGTCGACCGCCAAAGCGGTTTTGGGCTGAATCTGAGTTCCAGACCCGTTTCGTTTTGGATTGTTATAAATACCTAAGGGGTGTTTCTAGGGTTTGAGTGCAAGGGTTTTGAGCTGAAATAGAGGGGTTTTGTTGGGCTTCTATTGTAGGAGCATTTGGAGAGATCAAGTGTGATTTGAAGAGGGGTTTTTGTGAGATTTGTAATCCTAGTTATATTCCCTTGATTTCTAATAGTGAAAACTCCCCTTTCCTTACCCCGTGGACGTAGGCATCTCGCCAAACCACGTTAAAACTGATGTTGATTATTTGTGCTAATTGAGTTGGTGTGTTTGGCTTTCTCTCTCGGCGATTTGGTATTGGATCTCGACATCGGGGGTTTCCCTAACAAGTGGTATCAGAGCTCCGGGCAACGCTTGGGTATTTTTGGAGGAGTAGATCAGTTGGGAAGTTCATCGAGAGATTCGGTTGGTGATAAAGGTGGGATCTTTGTGGTAAAGTTTCTATCTTTTCAAGTTGGATCTATTTCTTGTTTGTTCCGTAATTGTTATTGGGTGCTATGAGATATAAGGCCGGAAAAGATAAAGGTGGGGAGGGTTCTTCTAGTGTGAAGACCGTCCAAAGTTTGAGTATCCATTCTATGAAGATAGATGTGGAGAAGTTCGATGGCACAAATAATTTTAGACTTTGGAGATGCGAAGTCTTAGATGCGCTAAATGCGCAAAATTTGAAAGATACATTGGAGTTGGACGGGAAATCGGACGACATTGATGAGAATGTTTGGAAAAAAATGAATAGAACGACGTGAGGTGTGATTAGGTCTTGTCTTACTCAAGATCTAAAATATGATGTGATGAATGAGACTTCGACAAAGAAGATTTGGGAGGTCCTAGAAAGCAAATATTTGACGAAGAGCGTCAAAAATCGATTGCATTTAAAGAGGAGGCTTTATCGCTTCCAATTGAAGAAGGGGACATCCATTAGTGATCACATGAACCACTACACAAAGCTACTTGCGGATTTAACGAATGTAGATATTATGATTGAAGATGAGGACAAAACGTTATTATTATTGAGTTCCTTGCCAGACGAGGAATATGAGACATTCGTCCTCACTCTTATTAATGGGAAGGCATCTCTTTCGTATAGTGAGGTCACTACGGCACTTGTGAATTATCAACTTCGTAAGAAGGACAATGAGACTTCTATTGAGCCCGTAGCAGGGGCATTGGTCGCAAGAGCTAAGAGTCCAAAACGTGATAGAAGGTCACAATCTAGAAGGGGACATCCTGCAGTTGGTAGGAATCAATGTGTCTTTTGTAGAGAGGATGGATATTAGAAAGCAAAATGCCCAAAATTACAAGCCGGGAAGAATAAGGGGAAAGATGTTCAAGCTTCAGAGTTGAATATTGCCAAGGCTAGTGGCAACATTTTAGATTCGGATTCTTCGAGCTATTCGTGCTCAGCTCTTTCGTCAGTTGGTGTTGCCGACTCCACCGAGTGAATGTTAGATTCGGGTGCTACTTACCACATATGCCCTAGGAGGGATTGGTTTTCCAGCTTTCAGGAGTTGGAAAGAAGGGATGTTATGCTCATAGGTAATGATCACAAATGTCCTATTGGTGGTATCGGTACCGTTCGGATTCGGATGAGTGACGGGATGATTCGGGAGTTGGTTGAAATGAGGTTCGTTCCTTAATTGAAGAAGAACATCATTTCACTTGGGGTATTGAAGGCAGCAGGCTATAGGATGATCTTGACGGATGCACGCTTGAATGTTACATTGGGGTCTATGATTATGATGAAGGACATCAGAAGGAGCAACTTGTATTATTTGTTTGGGAGCACAGTGATTGATAGAGAGCTGACGACTTCTTTGGTTAGACTGTGGCATTGTTTGTTGCTGGGATATATGATTGGTTATACCGTGTATAGATTGTTGAGAAGTGTTATGACCTGTTGATTGAATTCCTTTGAGCATGTTGGGATGAGCGAGAAGACCGAGATGGAGTTTGACACTTCTATCCACCGATCGAGGGGTCTTATAGGAGATGTTCAGTCAGGTATTTGGGGGTTCAGTCAGGTATTTGGGGGCCTTCCAAGGAGGGATCATTGGGAGGTAATCGGTATTTTGTTTCCTATGTTAAGGATTGTACTAGATATTTATGGGTTGTAACCAAGTCCCGTTGGTATAAAGCCCTAGTAGTCCGTAACAGTTGGAGGAGGTGTATTAGCAGAAAGGTTACCCATCGTACTAGTTCTAGTAGGGGTTCTTTCTTGCATTTATGCCGAGCTCATGGCAGTTAGAGACACTTCGTAGGAGAGGAGACATTGGGGCGACGAGATGAGATAGAGGATTCGGTAAGCTGTTCCTTTCTGAAGAAGGATCGGTGTTGGTTGTCAAGCAGTGGATTTGGTATTCAGGCTCCGACATGTTTGGGCCATCTTATGAGGTTACCGACTGCTGCATTGAGAGTTGTTAGATCTGGTGGAGCTGTTTCAGACTTTGGGTTACGTCGGATGTTTGGCTACTCAGTACTTGGTCACATCATGGATGTGAGATTGGATCCGATTGCACGATTGGGATTCAGAGGCTCTTTTGGCTATCAATTAAGAGCTTCTGAGTTTGTTCGGAGCAGGTATGTCACATTGGACTCTCGGCAGGTAGAGAGTATAAATCAGATCAGTGGGATATCGCAACGGGTGGAGGGTGATACTACTCCATATTGGGTGAAGATTATTCCACATACTCCAGGTCATTCTGCATTATTTTGGGATTCCAGCTGATGTGGCACAGTTTGCGGATCAGATTGTTCAGGATGCAGATGATGAGTTGGTAGATTCGAGTGCAGTTGGTGAATGTAGCTTGGATATGGCCATTGGGTCACCTCAGGTGGAGGTGTTTGGATCGTGTCAATTTGGGATCATTGGTAAAGCTATCAGCCGCAGATTGGGTGTTGATATTGATGAAGAGTTGAGAACTCTTTTTTTGGATTAAGGGCTTTTGGAGGCCATTGGGTGAACTATGTGAATGCATGATTCCTTAGACTAGAGGATACGTAGGCAGTCTTTATGATGCAGCCGATTTTGTGAGTAGACACTGTTTGTTTTGGGTGAGTGTTCGCACTCCCATATGGGTCTTGACTTGTTGTGGATGGAGTCCGTTGTCATGGCGTACTGGACGCAACAAGTGAGGTATTTTGGTGTGGTTAGTGTCGGCTCAGTTTTGGGAGAACGTTCACCGAGGTAGAGATTTGCAGGACTGGCAGAACAATTGATGAAGCCTTAGGAACGTTTTGGATGGTCGGCGGTCGACCGCGTTTGTGCACGGGGCCTCACTGTGCCTTTGGATCTTTGGCGGTCGACCGTGACGGTCGACCGCGTTTTCTTCTAGA